TTTATGCCTTCGCGTCTTTCCTTTTGCCTCCCCTGTCTCTCGCTCAGCCTCCATCTTCTTCTACCGCCCCTAGCTATCTTCCCTGCAGCCTTTCCTCAGTCTCCCATCCCCTCTCGTCCTCAGCAAGCTATATTATAAAGTTTGCCTCAGACGGCACTGCACGCCTAACACGGTGCGCGCGCATGCGTAATATCTCTCGAGAGTAATCGTATTTTGCAAAGATTATGCATTTAAAATGAAGAGGAGTTATCCTAGCATAGATTTATATGATTACATTCCATCAGTAGACATCATTTAAGAAATATGAGGAAGACCTTGCATGTAAGGTCCCCGCTGCGTATACCAGCCAGTACACAATCTGGCTACGTTAGTGTGTAGCGCATGCGCAATATCTCACCAGAGGAGTTCTGTTTTGTGATAAATATGCATTTAAAATGGTTAGGGCGTATCTCAGCATAGATTTCCCTGATAAACTTTCATCAGTAGACCTGTGTTTAGAATTTGGAGAGCGCCCTAGCATGTAGGATACAAAACACCTACTTTATGCCTTCGCGTCGTTCCCCTTGCCGACCCTGTCCCTCGCTCAGCCTCCATCTTCTTCGTCCGCCCCCAGCTATCTTCCCTGCCGCATTTCCTCAGTCTCCCATTCCCTCTATCCCTTAGCAAGCTAAATTATGAAGTTTGTCTCAGACGGCACTGCACGCCTAACACGGTGCGCGCGCATGGGCAATATCTGCCCTGGAGAAATCGTATTTTGCAAAGATTATGCATTTAAAATGACGAGGAGTTATCATAGCATAGATTTATATCATAACATTCCATCAGTAGACATCATTTAAGAAATAGGAGGAAGACCTTGTATGTAAGGTCCCCGCTGCATATACCAACCAGTACACGATCTGGCTACGTTAGTGTGTTAGCGCATGAGCAATATCTCACCAGAGGAGCTATATTTTGTAATGAATATGCATTTAAAATGGTTAGGGGGTATATTAGTAGACATTTCCCTCATAAACTTTTATCAGTTGACCTGTGTTTATAATTAGGAGAGCGCCCTAGCATGTAGGATACAAAACGCCTACTTTATGCCCTCGCGTCTTTCCTCTTGCCTCCCCTGTCTCTTGCTCAGCTTCAATCTTTTTTTTACCGCCGCCAGCTATCTTCCCTGCCGCATTTCCTCAGTTTTCCATCCCCTCTCACCCTCAGCAAGCTATATTATAAAGTTTGCCTCAGACGGCACTGCACGCCTAACACGGTGCGCGCGCATGCGCAATATTTCCCAAGAGTAATCGTATTTTGCAAAGCTTATGCATTTAAAATGAAGAGGAGTTATCATAGCATAGGTTTATATGAGAACATTCCATTAGTAGACATCATTTAAGAAATAAGAGGAAGACCTTGCATGTAAGGTCCCCGTTGCGTGTACCAGCCAGTACACAATCTGGCTATGTTAGTGTGTTAGCGCATACGCAATATCTCACCAGAGGAGTTATGTTTTGTGATAAATATGCATTTAAAATGGTTAGGGCGTATCTCAGCATAGATTTCCCTAATAAACTTTTATCAGTAGACCTGTGTTTATAATTTGGAGAGCGCCCTAGCATGTAGGGTACAAAACACCTACTTTATGCCTTCGCGTCCTTTATTTTGCCTCCCGTCCCTCGCTTAGCCTCCATCTTCTTCTACCGCCCCCAGCTATCTTCCCTGCAGCCTTTCCTCAGTCTCCCATCCCCTCTCTCCCTCAGCAAGCTATATTATAAAGTTTGCCTCAGACGGCACTGCACGCCTAACACGGTGCGCGCGCATGCGCAATATCTCCCGAGAGAAATCGTATTTTGCAAAGATTATGTATATAAAATGAAGAGGAGTTATCCTAGCATAGATTTATATGATAACATTCCATCAGTAGACATCATTTAAGAAATAGGAGGAAGACCTTGCATGTAAGGTACCCGCTGCGTATACCAGCCAGTACACAATCTGCCTACGTGAGTGTGTTAGCGCATGCGCAATATTTCACCAGACGAGTTATATTTTGTGATGAATATGCATTTAAAATGATTAAGTGGTAGCTCCCCATAGATTTCCCTAATACAATTTTTATCAGTAGACCTGTGTTTATAATTAGGAGAGCGCCCTAGCATGTAAGGAAATAAGGGTTATCTAGAGTAGATTTATATGATACTGATCTGTTGCTTATAATACATAAAAGCAAAAAAACGACAAGTAATGTATTTGTTTCTCATAGACTTTTTTATATTTAAATTCTTATTTAGACAATCTGCAAGAAACAATCGTACACTCTTAAACGGCTTAAGCGCCCTTCAAATCTGTTGCTGCAATAATTAACTTAAATTTAAAATCGAATTTAAACGATCTCACACGATGAAATCGACTACGACAACCGCACTTGGAGACTTTCGCCGAAGCAAACACATGGCGATTAGGAGACCATCCGTCTCTTCACTGCCGCGTAGTCCTTCCATCCTTCCATCTCGTCTCTCGACATGGCGAACTCGCTCGCTGACCGCAACTGCGCCGAGGAAAACCCCGCGTCGCGACGCCGCAAGCCGACGCACAGTTGCAGCGCCCCCTAGCGGCACACTCCACCGCTCGTCTCGCAGCGGCCGCCGGCGCCACCTATCGAAGAAAACGAGCCAAACCGACGCACCGTCGCGCTCGACGCGCCGCCACCTAGCGACGCTACGCCGCGACCGCCGGCGCCATCTCTGGGACCGTCGTCGCCGTCGTCGTCGTCGTCGTCGTCGTCGTCGTCACAGCACGCGTTCGTAGAACAGCAGGTAGGCCTGCGACTTCAGCACCGTCCCCTCGCACACTTCGCGCACGTGCGTGTCGCTCACGTGGTACCAGCGTCCCTCCTCGCCGCCGGGGGGCGCCACCGCGGCGTTATTTGACCGCGCAAACAAAGGTAGTAGTGTGGTTGTTGTTTACGATTTGTCTACACGTCATATCTGCCTTAGATGTTCCATGTGTTATTAAACATTTATTTGTATGTTTTATTGTTACATATTTATAAATGGTGTCCTGACTCACTATTCGTCCTTGTGTTCCCATGTTGTATTTACATTTATTTGTGATTGTTTTATTGTTACATGTTTATAAATGGTGCCCTGACTCACTTTGTCTTTGTTTTCCTATGTTGTATTTACATTTATTTGTCGTAATTTTATGGTTACATATTTATAAATGTTGTTCTGACTGGAGGCATTCTTTCTTTCGCTCGTGTAGGTCGGGTATTCCTTGCGTAAGGTCAGCAGACATGTTGAGTTTCCCCTGCAGTTGGACATAGCACCCTACTGCAGCGCCACCTGTCAGGTGGGTAAAAAAACAACTGGCTGTGTTTGCTCGTTGCTTTGGTTGTCATGGCGGTTTGGTTGGAATGCGTGGCGAGTGGTCGTGGAGAGGTTGGAGCCATCGGTGTGTGACACGTTAAATTTAATTCTTCCTCCTAGTCTTCCTGTGTTCTCTCTATATCTCTCTCAATCTCTCTTCGTCTTTCTTCTCTCTACTCTCCTCTTACTCTCGGTCAATCTTATTGCTCGCTCTCATCGTTCTCTCTCTCTCTCTACTCTCTATTCAACCTCTTCTCATCTCATCTCTCTCTCAGAACACTTCTCTTCTTCTCCTCTCTCTCTCTCTCTCTTCTCCTTCTCTCTCCTCTCCTTCTTCTTCTCTCGCTCCTCTCTCCTTCTCATCTCCTCTCTCTACATCTGTGTCTCTCTCTCTCTCTCGTCAAATCTCTCGGTCTCTCTGACATCATCTACATTTGGCAGGCGTACACACGGTCCAGATGGTGTACTACTCTCTCTAGTCTCTCCTCCTGTCCCATCTCTCTCTCATCTCCCTCTCTCTACTTACTCTCCTCTTCTCTCCTCAACATAAGATCTCAAGATCACTCTCCTCCACTCTCAATCGTCTCCTCTCCTCTCTTTCCACTCTCTCTCTCTCTCTCTCTCTTCTTCCTCTCAGACTCATGCAGTCCCTCTCTCTCTCTCTACGTCATCTCTCAATACTCGCTCTTTCTTCTTTCTCTCTCTCCATCTGCATCATCTCACTCAACTCTCTTCCACTCTCTCTCTCTCATTTAACTCTCCGAACTCTCCTCTTCTCTCCTCGTCATCGATCTCACTCTCTTCTCCTCTCCCTCCGGACACTCCCGTCGTCATATTTGCTCTCCTCCACTCGATCTCATCTCTCTGTCCTTCTCATCTCTCTCTCTCTCTCTCTGTCTTCTCACTCTTCAGCCCTTCTGTCATCTTCCCCATACCTACAATTCTGCAGGGCGTCACAAAGCACTACTGGATCAGAAGTGGAGTGCTCTATCTCCCTTCTAGTCTTCTCTCTTCCCTGTCCTCATTCATTATCTCCTAAATCTCTCCTTCTCTTCCCCCGTCACATCTCTCTACTCTCCGTCCTTCTCTCTCTCTTCCTCTCTCGTCATGCTCGTCTCTCTCATACTTCTCTCTCTTTCCTTC